AGATTCTTACAACTTTCCTATGTCATTGAGATATTAATGTCACCACTTTATGGAAGCAGCAGCCTCGAGAGACGTGAAGTGAGTTGTTCCAGATCACACAGCAGGCAGCAGAGCTGGCACTAGAAGCCAGGTCCGCTGACCATATCTGGTCACTACAGCAGACAGTTCCAATTCTTTTGGCTCCACAGGTGGCCTTGGAGGTCACACTCTTCTCAAGACTCCTTGATTTTGTTCTTGACATGTCAACTGGAAGAGAGTTCAAATTTCCCTGAGTCTGTTTCTCATGGGGAGGCATGAGAAAAAGGCAGAATCAGGAGGCCACTGAAGTAGTCCAGGTAAGAGATTATTTATGTATTCATTCAATAAGTATTTTAAACACTCTTTATGTGAAAGGCACTGTTGTTAGGTGCTAGGGATAGAGCAGAAAACAAAAAACAGGGCCCCTGAGACCAAGAGCTTACATTCCAGTGGTGGAGAAAGACCATACACCAGTAAATAAATAAACAAGGTAATTACAGACTGTGTAGTAAGTGTTGTGAAATATGACAGATAGCATTTGAGATAAGGTGGACAAGGAAGGCCTGAGGCCTGAATTACGTAGCCAGCCATATTCCAGGCAGAGGGAGTAGCACATATAAAAGCCCTGACTGTGAACAGTCTGATGAGGCCTGAACTAGTTTAAGAAGTGGGAATGGAAAGAAGGGATGAATTTTGTGAATATTTAGAAGGAATAATCAGAAGGACAGACTGAATGCGGTGGTTGAAGGTTGAACTTTGGCACCTTGCTGATGGTGGTGCCACTTGCATTGGGAAAGGAGGAGCAGGTTTTAGGGACAAGCATTTCCCCTCTGGAGGGCTCTCTTTCCCATCTGTACAATAGGTTAACATAACAACCAAGCTTAGTGCTAGGATTTTTGTTTTGGTGGTTTTTTGTTGTTTGTGTGTGTGTGTGCATTTGATAGGGTCTCACTCTGACACCCAGGCTTGAGGACAGTGGCATGATCACAGATCACTGCAGCCTCAACCTGCCTGGGCTCAGGAGATCCCCCCACCTCAGCCTCCCAAGTAGCTGGGACTACAGGCATGCACCATCATGCCTGGCTAATTTTTTTGTTGTTTTTTCTGTAGAGACGGGTTTTCGCCATGTTGCCCAGGCCAGATTGCTAGTTGTTAAGAATGTTATGTTCCTCACACCTTACTGAATTCCAAATGAATTAAAGATTATGGCCGCACGTGGTAGCTCACTCACACCTGTAATTCCAGCACTTTGGGAGGCCCAGGCGGGTGACTCACCCGGGGGGTTGGAAGTTCAAGACCAGCCTGACCAACATGGAGAAACCCCGTCTCTACTAAAAATACAAAATTAGCTGGGCGTGGTGGCACATGCCTGTAATCCCAGCTACTCGGGAGGCTGAGGCAGGAGAAGCACTTGAACCCAGGAGGTGAAGGTTGCAGTGAGCGGGGATCGTGCCATTGCACTCCAGTCTGGGCAACAAGAGTTAAACTCTGTCTCAAAAATATACATGTAAAAATTAGCTTGGCGTGGTGGCACAGGTCTGTAGTCCCAGCTACTCAGGAGGCTGAGGCAGGAGAACCACGTGAACCCAGGAGGCATAGGTTGCAGTGAGCCAAGATCATGCCACTGCATTCCAGCCTGGGTGACAGAGCAAAACTCTGTCTCAAAAAATAAAATTAAATTAAATTTAAAAAATAATATATAGGAGGTCGGGTGCAGTGGCTCACACCTGTAATCTCAACACTGAGAGGTCGAGAAGGGAGGATTGCTTGAGCCCAGTTGCTTGTTTGTTTCTTTTTTGAGACAAAGTTTCACTCTTGTTGCCCAGGCTGGAGTGCAATGGCATGATCTTGGCTCACTACAGCCTCCGCCTCCTGGGTTCAAGCTATTCTCCTGCCTCAGCCTCCCAAGTAGCTGGGATTACAGGCGCCTGCCACCATGTCCGGCTAATTTTTTGTATTTTTAATAGAGACGGGGTTTCACTCTGTTGACCAGGCTGGTCTCGAACTCCTGACCTCAGGTGATCCACCCACCTCGGCCTCCCAAAGTGCTGGGATTATAGGTGTGAGCCACTGTGCCCGGCCTGGGCCCAGTAGTTTAAGACCAGGCAGGAAAACAACGAGATTCCATCTCTAAAAAAGTAGAATAGGCCGGGCGCTATGGCCTGTTTTTGTGATGGCATGATCTCAGCTGACTGCAACCTCTGCCGCCTGGGTTCAAGCAATTCTCTGGCCTCAGCCTCTTGAGTAGCTGAACTACAGGCCCACACAATCACACCTGGCTTATTTTTTGTATTTTTAGTAGAGATGGGATTTCCCCATGTTGACCAGGCTGGTCTTGAACTCGTGACCTCAGGTGATCCTCCTGCCTCGACCTCCCAAAGTGCTGGGATTACAGGCGTGAGCCACCGCACCCAGCCACTAATTATTACTTTCAAAATAGATTTCTTGCTGGGAGTGATGGCTCACGCCACCTCACCTGAGGTCAGGAGTTTGAAACCAGCCTGGCCAATATGGTGAAACCCAGTCTCTACTAAAGATACAAAAAAAATTAGCCAGGCGTGGTGGCACATACCTGTAATCCCAGCTACTTGGGAGGCTGATGCAGGAGAATTGCTTGAACCCAGAGGCAGAGACTACAGTGAGCCAAGATTGCACCACTACACACCAGACTGGGCGACAGAGCGAGACTCCATCTCAAAAAAAAAAAAGCCAGGTGCAGTGGCTCACACCTGCAGTCCCAGCACTCTGGGAGGCCGAGGCAGGCAGATCATGAGGTCAGGAGATCAAGACCAGCCTGGCCAACATAGTAAAACCCCTTCTCTACTAAAAATACAAAAAAATTAGCCGGGCGTGGTAGCAGGTGACTGTAATCCCAGCCACTCTGGAGGCTGAGGAAGGAGAATGCTTGAACCCAGAAGGCAGAGGTTGCAGTGAGCCGAGATCGCGCCACTGCACTGCAGCCTGGGTGACAGTGCGAGACTCAGTCTCGGGAAAAAAAAAAAATAGAATAAATAAAAATTTAAAAATAAAATCCAGAATCAAAGAAAAACAAAGGATGGATAAATTGATCCCATAAATATCTAATGTTTTTGCATGGCTAAAAAACACTCTTGGCAAAGTCAAAAGTCAACAAATGGAAAACATATTTGCAACTCATTTGACAAAGAGCTGATTTTCCTAATATATAGTGAGCACCTATGAGTAAGAAAAATGAGGAAAGGATATACACAGACACAAATAGGAAAATATATCTCAAACATATGAAGAGAGATTCATATCTCTGCAAAATATGGTATTTGCAAATTAAACCACTTGGAGATAACATTTTTCACCTCTCCGATTGGCAAAGATCAAAAAGTTTGATAACATGGTGTTGATGAGGATATGAGGAAACAGCCACTTAAGGGGAATTGAGCAATAACTATTAAAACTCTGACCCAAATATCCTACTTCTAGGAATAGATGCTATATATATATATATATAGAGAGAGAGAGAGAGAGAGAGAGAGAGAAATGCAAAGTTACTGCAGCAGTGTAGTAACAAAAGGTTGGAACTTATTCCAATGTCCTTCACTGGGGCACTGGCTAAATAAATTACTGTGTATGAAATGGTATGAGCCATAAAACTAGTCCTTTTATACTCTTATGGAATAATTTTCAAAATATGCTTTGTGCAGAACCATATGTATAGTATCCTACTATTTGGTTTATAAGGGTAAATTAACCTCCTAAAGGACATTTCAGAAACTGTTTGCCTCTGGGAAGAGAAACTAAGTGGCTGGTGGACAGCAAACACTTTTCACTGTATATCATTTGAATCTTGAGTTATCCTTTCAAAGTATTCAAAAAGCAAAAACAAGCAAAGAAACAAAACCCTTTGTGGTTCTAGGTACATGGAGTTAGTGAGAAGGGAACCAATATTTATTGAACTTTTACCATGTTTCAGACACTGTTCTAAGTACTTTCACATATACTACCCCATTTAATGACCTATGTAATCCTTGAGATGGGTATAAATTATCCTAATTTTACAGGTTAGAAAATTGGATAGGCCAGGCGCAGTGGCTCACACCTGTAATCCCAGCACTTTGGGAGGCCAAAGCGGGCGGATCACCTGAGGTCAGGAGTTCGAGACCAGCCTGGCCAATATGGTGAAACATCATCTCTACTAAAAATACAAAAATTAGCTGGGCATGGTGGCGGGCGCCTGTAGTCCCAGCTACTCGGGAGGCTGAGGCAAGAGAATCGCTTGAACCTGGGAGGCAGAGGTTGCAGTGAGCTGAGATCGCGCCACTGCACTTCGGCCTGGGCAACAGAGTGAAACTCCTCTCGGGGAAAAAAAAAAAATAGGTTGGATTGTGGTCAAGTAATTTGCTCGGTGTCATGCCTAGTCTAGCTCCAAAGCTCCAGCCTTCTCCGCTTCTCACACTGCTTCTATTTAAGCAGTGCCCTCTCTTAAAAATAATACTGGTCTCATTTATTGGGCATTTGACATGACAAAACTACTAAGTGCTTTATATACGTATTCTCTCATAATTCTCAAAACATCTCTGGAAGTTGGAACTACTCTCCCCCTTTTACAGAAAAGATAAAGGAGAGTCCGAGACATCGCGCGTAACGAGCCCAAGGTCACGGGTACACAACCGTTTGGAAGCCAGGTTTGATTCCAAAGCTCCGGCTCCAAAATCCAAACCACACCCGGTTCAAAGGACAAAAGCAGGAACGCTCGCTCGCTGGGCTCTAGGAGGTGCGGGCACTTCCGGGGAAGGGGCAAAGCCAGCTGGCTGCGGAAGGCGGTGCAGGAACCCCTTTGGCGAGCTCCTAGGAGGACGTGCCGCAGCGCCGCCTGTCGATCACCTTGCCCCGCCTCACGTCGGCGCGCCCCCGGGCAAGCTCCTCCCCCAGTCCTGGCCGGGCGGGAAGCGAAAGCGCGCTCTCTCCGGTTACCCTCCGCCTAGGGGAAGGGCGGGGGAAGTGGAAGCGCGCGCTCGTGAGCTGCGTGCTCGCGTACGTCGCCGGGGTACGGCTGCGTCCGTCCCGCCGCCCGTCCGTTGCCGTTGCCGCCGCCGCCGCCGCTGCCGCTGCCGCCGCGCTCTCGCTTTGCCCGCCGCCGCCTGAGGGGGGCTGGGGCCGGGGCCAGCCACCACTGCCGTTGCCGGGATGCCGCGGGTGTACATCGGCCGCCTGAGCTACCAGGCCCGGGAGCGCGATGTGGAGCGCTTCTTTAAGGGCTACGGGAAGATTCTGGAGGTGGATCTGAAGAACGGGTGAGGAGGGCGAAAGAGGGTCCGGCCGGGCGGGGACAGACCCCAGAGACCCCAGCGGTGGTGAGGAGGCCGTGGGGACGGGAGAGGGACGCCTGGTCCGCGCGGAGCGGCTACTGGCCTGACCAGGCTCCGCCATAGTGGCGGCGCCTCGGGGGCGCGGGTAGGCCCCGGTTCCCACTGCGCCTGCGCGGGTGGGGGTGGTAGAGGCATAATGGGAGCTGTGGTGAGGCCCTGAGTGGGACAGGGAGAAGGAAAGCCCGAGTGGGGCTGGTGCTCCGGGCAGGAGGGCACAGCTCCAGGGCGCCCGGGAGACCTGGGTTTTCCCTTCCTAGGCCCGGGACTGGGGCCTGGTTCGTCCCTGGGTAGAGACCAACCTTTCCCGCTCTGAGGATTACTGGAAATAAACAGGATTTCCTGCTCCCTTTCACCTCTTCCCCAGTCTGTGGATCAGACGGTCACAGCGCGTCTTTCCCGGGGACTGGAGCGTTGGAGGGAGGCCCTTTTTAGCCATGTGCCACGCTCTTTTGGGCGGGAGACTCCAGTTTGAGTAGTCTAGTGACAGTTTCGAAAGTATCGTCTTGCCGTGCTGAAAGCCTTCACCATTCCCTCTGCAAGAGTAAATTAAAGTCTTAACTCCTTATCCTTAAGACTCCGTGCAGAGTTTCCACGCTGTGGTTTCCGTTCTCCAACTTACCGAAAAATTGTTTTGCCGTTTTAGAATTTGTTAGGAGAATAATGGCCACCCTGGCTAGTATCTGCGTCTCGTTAACGCAGACGGAAACGAAATTGTTAACTTACTGCCTCCCCCAGAGTATGATCTATTACTTGTATTCCTAATCTACTTTTGCAAAATTAGGGCCAGTATGAGCTACAAGTTTCAGGGAAAACTGTTGAGGAATAAGGTCTGGAGAAAATACTCAACGGGGAAAACTGGGAACCAGGAAATGTTAGATAGGGCTTGGAAGGCATGGATATAAAAAGGACTGGGGTAACATTTTAGGGCACTAAACCTTGGGTGTCAGAGAACTCCCGACTTAAAAAAATACCTCTACTTTGCAACAGGTCTAATATAGCTACCGTTTACTCCCGAGGGTTATACTAGCAACTGACACCTGAAACATTTTGAAAGTTGCCTAAGTATGTTTCACGTTTGAGACAAGTTGGTAGCTACCATATTCTCAAATGATTGTCTGGGTTTAGAAAGTCATTTCAAATTAATTGTTAGGAAGAATCGTTTTCTGAGGACGTCTTTAGTAAAGTACTGATTTCTTTTACAAAGGCTTAGAAAATTACTCCTTTTGTACAGTAAAACGTTCAGTTCTTAAGGATATATTGAAGTGGGGGCTGGATGTTATTGTATACATTTCATATATGTGAAAGTTAAAACTCCAGTTGTTTACAGAGCCCAACTAAATTGACAGAATAACTAACTTTTGTGAGCAAAGTGTGGTCTTTGAAGCCAGCCAGTTCTAAGTCAAATCGTGGTTCCACCACTTACTACGTATGGGCAAGTTACTTCTCTGAACCTGGTTTCTCATTCATGTGGAAAAGGAAGATTAGAGATAATAAATATAAAGCATTTGGCTTAGGCAGTAAGTGGCAGCTATAATCAGAGGGATGAGGAAACATCTTTGCTTGTTGGTGTTTGATAACATAAAGCATGTTTGGTGAGGTCTGTTTTCTAAGGTTACTCAGGTGATAGTGTGCGGGAAATGACAAGACTGTTAATGGGAAACTGATTCATCAACCAAATGTATTGATAACCCATCGACAAAATGTCCACCACTGTGCTAAATGAATTGGGGGAGGAGGCAGAAAACAGTTCTGCTCTTGAATAAATTAAGCATTATGACATGTGCACGTTGAATTAAGAAATGTTTGCTTTCGCTTTAAACTGTAACTAGTAAAACTTGGAACGATTTGCTTGAAAAGATGTGTTGAAATGGGCTTTGAAGAATAGATTAAGTAGAGCTTGAAGTGAAGAATTTAGGTGTCTGGGAATAGCGTATGTCGTAGTTGGGACTCAGACATGGTGACTTGTGCCTGTAATCCCAGCTGAAGTGTGAGGATTACTTCAGGCCAGGAGTTTGAGACCAGCCTGACCCCATCTCTACAGAAAAATTTTTTTTAATTAGCCACGCGTGGTGGCACTCGCCTATAGTCCTAGCTGCTTCAGAGGATGAGGCAGGAGGATCACTTCAGCCTAGGATTTCAAGGCTACAGCAAGCCAAGATTGTGACACTGCACTCCAGTCTGGGTAACAGCAAGACCCCCACCTCTAATAAAAGTACAATGATGACTTTTTTTGCTTTTTGATGAATAGGGAAAAAATATTTTTTAATGTCATAATTGGTGTTGAAGACATGGCCTTCAACAAAGAAGCAATTATGAGAAATAATAATCTAACATGGATTGAGCCTTATGAAGAATCTAGAAATTTAACAACATAAACCAGAAACGACGACTATTAAGATTTTACAGTAAAAATTCAAAATCAGTAAGTAGGAATTCAAAGGCTCTGGAGAAGGAAGAAGTGAGCAACCCAGAAGGAAGATGGAGCGATAAGAGGAAAGAGCCTTTCAGGACCCTAAATACCTGGGTGGTTTTTTAAGGAACTGTTCATTCTTACAGTTATGCTGCCAAACCATGATATGCATGAAATGTCATTGAAAGTCAAGGTTGAAATGAAGTCATTTTAGAGTTTCAAAGAGAAGTATGACGGTCACCAGACAGCACACAGTATGACCTCCTGGCATCATTGAGGAATCATTACAGAGGAAAACGACTTCTGGGAAGAAGACCAATGGTAAAGATGTATATCAAGCAAAAATTACCTGTAAGGCAAAAATCCTGGGGAGTCTGAAAGGAAGGAGTGAGTACAAAGGAAAAAGCATAACTTAGCTATATATGTAAACTTACAGTTCCCAAACAGAAGGGCAGTGGATCTCCCTACTGATAAGCATGTTTGAACATATCTAGATTGTGATTAATAATTGCAACTCAGAAGCAGATTTTGGATGTTTTAGATAGGTCTTTGAAGAATTGCTGGAGTTCAGATTTGTAGAAGTGAGATGTATCAGTAGATACGTTAGGCTGAAGGGTTGTAGGTTAAATTTAGAATTAAGGCATAAAATGCTTGTATAGACCGATCACAGTGGCTCACACTTGTAATCCCATCACTCTGGGAGGCCAAAGTAGGTGGATCACTTGAAGTCAGGGGTTTGAGACCAGCCTGGCCAGCATGGTGAAACCCCATCTCTACTAAAAATACAAAGATTAGCCGGGCGTGGTGGTGGGCACCTATAATCCCAGCTCCTCTAGAGGCTAAGGCAGGAGAATTGCTTGAACCTGGGAGGTAGAGGTTGCAGTGAGCCGAGATTGCATCAGTGCACTCCAACCTGGGCAACAGAGCAAGACTCTGTCTCAAAAAAAAAAAAAAAAAAAAAAAAAATATATAATAGGAAGATGACCAAATAAGGAAACAAATGAGTTCTTCAAAGGAGATTTAGTGTCCAGGAAAGGATTCTATG